TGCCATTTGATTTTGAACTTCAATTTACTTTAATCATACTCTTTATAAACTTGATGTAATTGTTACATCATTCAAACAATGTTCGAATAGAGAATTTCATCAAAATAAAGAAATAAATCATTCTAATATATCAATCATGAGTTCATTTTAATCACTATAATGAATCACACGTAAATTGCTTTTCATTGGACTAATATTATTCTTTTTCTGCAAACAGGAATTCAGTGATAAATTATTTTCACTTACAGAACAGCATATTTTATTTGAAAAGAAGTATCAAATATTGATGAGTGATCAGTGAATATCGTTTGTTCTAACCGCTCCATTAGGTCGAAACTCAAAAGACATAATACCGGGCTGAACTCTGAATTGTTTCGCAATTATAGACAGAATTTCAATCTATAATCATCTAGAAAATATTTTTTATCTAGTGTTAGAAATTTAATCCTAAACCCATTCGACCAATTAGCACTGGATTAAGCAATATGACTGATGTTAAGTGGAAACAGCATTCATATGTTTTACCCATTTCACACGGTCTTCACTAGAAAAGTTAACGTTAAATTAAAATATCTAGCTGAAAGAAAATTTAATTCGTGTTTGAGAGACGAATTATATTTAATGCATCACTTGAATAAAGAATTTGATCAATTCATTAAAATGATGAAAGTATCTCAATGAAATCATCTATGTTTAATGTAATATACTACTAATTATAATAAAATAAAACCAGAGAGATACGAATGAAGAGAAAATGGCTTTCTTAAAGAAATTATTTAACGACCAACTGAACAATAAATCCTGTGAGGACATTTATGAAAACTGATTTGTGTATTATATAGGTGGCAATTTGTTTGATGAAATGTCATAGAATGATGTATTTTCAACGTTAGATTTCAATTCCTATCAACGAATTAAAATAACAGATGAAGATTTAATACAGCATTATTTTATATAAAAGACCAGATCTTCCTTATAAGCACGTCGAGCATTTGCAATGAAAGTCTGCTGAAAGTTGTTATCTTACATTTTCTTTTCGCCACTAAAGTGTACAAAAACCAAGTTTTTTTACAATCTGAAAAAATACAAAAAAACACGTTTGTATTTTTTTCTTGTATGAAAAATAATAATTTATACTTACAAAGGTAAATATGCGTACGATTTCAGCAGCTATAATACGCGAATAAGACAATCAGAGCAGAAACACAATGCAAATTAATACCAACATAATCTCTCATTTAACACTGCGGGCAGATTTTAAGCTTGTAAACTCTTCTTCTGGAAAGTGTACAGCTTACTGAGTGTTCTTTTAAACATAAGAAGTAGTAGATGTTCTGTACATCTTGCTTCTGTGTCATACACTTTCTATGGCTGTCAAAGAGTATTTTTCTTTCTGACTTTTTTCAGTCGTTTGAGAAACATGAGTTGTATGGATTGTTCAGCATCCAATCAATAGTAAAAAGAAATGGAGTTGATCGTCAATGACATCTTTAATTCATACTCATATTTTAATTCCTACATATTCTCTCAATTCTGAATTTATATATAAACTATAATTTAATATTATACTACTAGCCAAAACCATTCTCTTCTGGAATCCAAGACTCCATGAGAGTGAAAGATCGAATAATTCGTCTGCAGACAGTCCATAGAGAATGTTGGTCAACGGTAGCATCAACACTAAAATCGCCCAAGCTAGAACGAACTTATAATAATTGAGATCTACGATCACTGTGATTCTCGTAACTGAAGAACAGATAGACTGTTTTCGAAGCGTTCAATCTTTATTTTGTTGTCCTGTACTAAGACTGTTTCAGATATAGATCTAATCAGTTTTCATCAAGTAATTGATAGTTGAGTCATTTTGTCTTAAAATATGGATATGAAAAAAAAAATGTCGTTCAGCGGTCAATGATCCAGCGAGACTTTCATGAATATATCTCAAATTCTCAGGAGGCGTTGTACAACGGTTGGTATTCACACTCTTTACTGAATTATGTGCTGTTTATAAGATTATATAAGTAATTGTCAATCACATTGCATGAAACTGTAGCCTAATATATGGTCTTTTATTGTTTCAAAGATGATTTCATATGCTTAAATAATGGAGACTTCGGATCTTAGACAAGTTCACGATGATTATCGTTTGTAAGATGCTAGAGCTTCTGAAACTTTTATACACAATTGTCAACCATGGTACAATACCTCCTAAGAATTTCAGATGGATCTAGCAAACTATCACTACACTGTTGACTACTCTATATCATATTCTATGAATTCTTCTTTTTACAGATTCATGCTTTTAGTAAAAATAATTCAGTTCGTCAGTAGCTTTATGAACATCAATTAAATTAATATCAGCAATAATTATAATCCAGGACTGCAAAATAAAAAATTGAACGGCTTCAAAAGCCTATCTATTCTTGGATTATAAGATTCGTAGTTGCTGTGTATGTTACTCATTATNACAACCTTGATTTAGTTATTACTAACACTTTTTCATGATGTTAGATTTATCTTTAGAGAAGATACATAGCCTGAAAACTGAATCTTGAGCTTAAGGAGTACTGGCAAAAGGATTGCGTTTCTCGCCTTTTAAAAGCCTTTGAGGACTTCATATACTGATATTCTAAATCAGCACATTGGACTCTATCAACAAACATACATTTCAGCGAAACCAAGGATAAAAAGTTACCTAGAGATCCCTGTGGGGGACCCCAGGTCCCAAAAACCTTGTGGTCAGTTTTTCAAAATCTGACCCCTGAAATATCATCAGGCATCATGTCTGACTATGAATCGATAAAAAAAGGTCAATTTTGTTGGGGGCAGAAAAATAGTCTTATCGGCCCTAGTCCTTTTAAAACTGGAGAATTCATTAGTTTACTGAACAATGAATTAATTAACTGAGCAAATGAAATACTTACTGAACGTCGAATTTTTCACTGATAGTTTCATACTTTTACTGAAAAATCGAATATAATACTAAGCTATTTTTACTGAGATTTCAGTAAAAGTTACTGAGCGAAAAATTTGTTCCCATTTTTTGACATAGTGTATATGTACTCATATTAACGGTATTGTAAAGCAAGGGAAGCCTTTAGTCGATCGAGATGAAATTTATATGAGTGATTAGTAACTATGGGTCGTACAATTACTGAAAGTTTCGTATGAAAGAACCTTCATTTTCAATTGGGCCAAAATCAACACAAAACGTCCCCCATCCTTTGAATTTTTTCTAGGTTTTCCGCATTGTTGTCTTGCCATCTTTTTCTCAGAGTGAGCGTAAAATGATAGAGAGCATGCAACAGGATTAGTCCTGAGCGTCCATATTGCTGTCCGATCTAGTCTGAAGTCACTGATAAGTCATTAGGACGGACTATTCTGACAAAATATGTTATGGAACTAAATGTAGATGTGTTCAAACTGTACTTATCATCTGCCAAGACCAGTCCATTCTGTCATTTCATATTGTCCAGACTCGTCAGTAAGACAACAAGTTCAGAAAGATACATGGAGACTGATAAATTCAAGCATTGACTTCCACAATATTGAATGCATAATCAATCTACACCGTTTTAAACAATAACACGGATTAGCGTGTAGCATCACATGGATTTTCCATGACTGGTTTTTGTTTGAAGAAGCAATGCCAGACTTGATACGAACGAATCTAAATTCTTGGAACGGCCCTGTGACATCCAGCTCACATTTAGAATAACTTAGTAGCTGTATGGAAAAGTCTACTGAAAAGACAAACATCTGCTGGAACATTATATAAATGAAAAATACTCAAAACTATCTGATTGATAATTGTGAAATTAATTTGGTATTAGTTTCAAGAGTTCCCATGATATAAGAAAAGAACACTACTATTCATAGAAAATTTCACTGAAGAAACAAGTATCTGCTAGTACAATGGATAACCGAAAGAAGCCCCCTTAAGTTAAAGAAAAGTTCTACTAAACGATGAAAAAGATTCAGAAAAATAGAAAAATCCATTGAGGAACACGATCAACGGAACAGTATTTAAATATTTAGAGAATACCTGGATTAATATGTCCAAGAAGTAAAGTCCTTTTAAATAACTGGCGGACTTTAGGTAAAACGGACATTTTGCGAATTTTCTATAGCACTCATTATTTATTTACTTGACTGATAGATTTTACAAAATAAGAATAACAGAACACTAATATTATATTATTTTCATGACTTTTGCTGTGCTTGTTCTGCCGATAAAGTCTGTTGTGATTTGGACCTGGATGATTTCGGTAAGAAGGATGAAGCTTAAGTATCACTTGCTAAATTATCATTGTTGATTGATTCAAACTGAACTGTCACATTATCATTTATATTTTGTAGTGTTATTGGTTGCTGCTGTTGCAGATAATAGTTATTGCTGTTCATAACTTCTTCATCTCTGATATAATTATAATTATAGTTTGTAGTCCATGTTGGAACAATACTACATTGATAAGTATTGGGAATACCACTCACTCTATTGAAATCTTCACTCCTATGACACAAGATATTAATTTAATATGTTGATTAATAGAATTTTATTTGAATTATCTTTAGTTATGAAATCCAAAAGTAGCAAGTGCAGTCAAACATTTATGGTTTCTCCAAAATATTTTTGATCGAGATGCGAATATCAGACTTAGGAAAACAAAAGTATGATTACTGTGGTTGTGACAGAGCTATCACACCATTAATCAAAAAAAAATAGTAGAGAAATCGGAAATAACTCGTTTTCTACGTTATCTTTTGTTATACAATTCAAAGTATTTCAAAACAATTCTATTTATCGATCATATATGCTTAAAAACTTTCTTTAAAGATTTTTTTAAATAAATAGTATCTTTGATAAATTCATATCATAATAAAATTCCCTATTGAAATTCTTCTTTAGTTTGTTATTCAAATTTAGCTCAAGTGTAAAAAACATTAAAGATACAGTTAATTAAATAATTGCGCAACTCATTCTAGCAACGTAATATGGCCTACCAATTAATTACAGCAGCAAGAGAAATTTTCTCAGCATCAAGACAATTGTCAATAATAATAATAAAATAAGCTTCATTTTTTTGCTTTCTCCAATCTGTTAAAATTGAGTAACACATATCTAATTCATTTTTAGTAATATTAAAACGAGTATATTCTTCGTTATACGATCCACTAATGCCTTTAACTTCAAAATAACAATATTTAGTAGTCGGTCCTGATGTATGTGTAAATAATTGACGTGTATCGTGTAATTCGAAATCAAAACCAGCCGAATCATTTATATTATCACAATGTTGTGGATAAATAACACGCCGTGCTGATGAACGCCAATTTTTTGTTGGTGTTACATCAATCGAACCGTAATAATTTTGTAGATAAACAAAAAAGAAATGTTCAGCATTTTGACCAATACGAATTTGTTCGATACCATCCACAATCGATGGATTTCTCCAAATATTTCCCAAGTAACTGTTTCGAATTGTACTATGTTGTTCTTTTAATCGATTTCGATAAATAATATCATCAGCCATTCGTTCAACAGCAACCGAATCTAAAGTCATTTTTTCAGGATCTTCTTCAGTCGTACAATTTTTGCCTATCGATATAATCATTGATTCAATAGAATCATGATTAGTAGGGAAGAGTATGTCCGTAAATGAATAAATACTGGATGCTGTACTAGCAACAGATGATAGATACTCAGAACGAAATGCTGAACATGTATTTATCTGTTGTTCAGCTGTGGATTTTGCTTCTTCAAATAATATATGACATCTTTTATGTAATAAAGTAGTTAAAGCTGATATTGCAATAATTGCCGTTGATGCATCAGCTTTTTCATGACCAGTACAAAGAAGTACTATATTATTAAAAATCCAAAATGGATAATCAGTAGCAATCATATACCGATGAATTTCACGCATATTATCTGCATTAATAGTATTAATAACAAAAGAATCAGATAGAAGAATAGATACATTAGCATATTTTGATGTAACTACTTCCACTTGTGGATCATTAAGAGTATTACGAAATATATCTGTTAATTGTTGAAGTAAATATTCAAGATTATGATTTTGATGTACCCATTGAATTTTACCTCGTCGTTCAATATAATCGATATCAAATGTAGCTAATACTAATGGACATGTACGAGCAATTAATGGTAATATGAAATAATGTTTACGTGGATTTTTCCATATATTTTGAATGATTATAGTTTCTAAACATGCATACATAATAGTATCTACATTTTTTGTAACAATATTTCGATCAATAGTAATAAGACCAATTTGTTTTTGTTGTGATTCAAGCTTAGTCAAAGCTCTCAATTGTTGGGATAAAGAATTACATGTAAAACTAAAACGCCATTCTAAATCTTCTCGACTACCACATGGAGCTGTTGGAGATTTATTTTTTACTATAGTATTATATAGATCACTATATGTATCATTATTTTTTATGTATTCCCATATTAAATATTCTAAATATTGATAAAGAGTAACTATTATTTCTGTACCATAATCATTTAATATAGTTTTACAATCACCCAGTGCAATGTAATTACTTCTGTCACAAGTTGCCAGATAAATTGCTGAATGAACGTAATCGATTCTAATTGTAGATGCTGATAAACATCCTAAATAATGAAAAAGATCTTGAAATTGTAAATAAATTTGATTATTTGTTGATGAAATTAGTTGTAATTTAAGATATTTTGAAAGAAGTAAAATAGCACGATCATATTCGTTGTTATCTGGTTTGATTAAAAGATCTTTTAAAAAATAAAAGTTATTTTCATCAGGAAGATACAATTGAAATGATGAAAGGAAAGTTTGTACATTTAATTCATTATGTTGTTGACGAATATATAATTGCAAATGACTCAACCATTGAACATATAAATCAACATCTGTATTTTTTTCATTGTTTAATATTTTTAAAATTTTGACACATGTTAATATGTTATATTCGGTACAGATACCAAGATTTTTTGCTAATGTACGGCAATGATGAGGAATTGTAATATGTGGAAATGATGGTAAATTAGAAACAATCATTTCATCAAATGTAGCTGAAACCGGTACTATTTGTTGTTCAATATCTGAATTAACAACAACTGGAAATTGACGAAGACATTCTTTTGTATCTTCAGTTTGATAAGACAAAATCGATTCAGCTAATCCAACAAAACCTTCATCTGTAAACATGGTCAGTCCCGGTAAAACTGGTAAATTAGTAACAGAATAATTTGGCGACAGACGAATTGATGGACGTTGACAATTCATTTGAAGTAGAAAATGTTCCCATTGAAGAAGATCATACAATTGAAGGTAAGGAATATTACAATAGGGAAAGTATATAATTGATGAGGATCTGGTATTGATAAATGATCGAATATCTAGCCCTAATATTGATGGTAGAATTGCATTTTGAATTGGAATAAGCTTCACTGTGTCGGTAATAGGTATAAGAAATGGTATAGATTTATTTAATTTATTTAAATGAGATTTTAAATAAAATAAATCTTGCCATACCTCTTCGATTAATTCCATATTTGAATTTAAAACAAGAGATGAACTAGCTAATTGTAAATGATGCTGACGAATAATTTCAATTATGCGTTCGTTTGTAAGAAGTTGTACATGTTTTGAGTTAAGAAGAGTAGCATATTCAGATTTTGATGAATATTTTAGGAGTGTAATTTGCTTTTTCCACATTTGAAATTGAGGATTATCACTGATAAACAGAAGTTGAGATCGTGAACTATCATTAATTGGTAAATATTCTCTATAATGATGATTTTGAAGAAGAAAAATTGGTTTTAGTAAAATCTTTTGAGCTGATTCTAATGTCATCGTTTCAGTTAAACGTTGAAAAAGTAGAGACCACCAATTTTCATCTTGTTTTTGCGTCCACAATCGAAATTGTTGACGATCACTATTCATTGTTTCTTCTCGATCAGGAAAGCAATTTAATATATCTATGATTGAAACTTTTTGTATATGAAATGATTTCAAATGTTCAAGTGTTAAAGAAGACGTATCGGAATCAATCACATGAATATTGGCATAATTGTACAACTGTTCATTTGTCACGAGTAATGACAAATCTTTATTAAAGTAGCGAATTGTTTTATCTAAATGTATGAATATTTTCAAAGCGTCGCCCAGTGAAAAATATTCTCGGATTTCAATCAAATTATTTTGCAACAAAATCCAATCCGCAATCCGATTGATAATCTTGATTATGATCGATCACCATTTAACCCAAGCTTGATGTTATTGCTAGCCCAGTGGAAATTAGATTGATTGAAATCGGATTATTTTCGAGTAAAATCCACATTGTCAATCGATTGATAATTTTGAATTGTGCTACAGAACAATCCGATTTTAATCAAACTAATTTCCACTGGGCTAGCAATAACATCAAGTTTGGGTTAAATGGTGATCGATCATAATCAAGATTATCAATCGAATTGCGGATTGGATTTTGTTGCAAAATAATTTGATTGAAATTCAAGAATATTTTTCACCCGGGTCAGAAATCTCGCACAAATTTAAAATTTCAGAAAAAGCAGCGACATAGCTTTTACTTTACATTTCGAGCCTAAATCTTTGAAATTTGTACTGAAACTTCGTTAATCAAAGGTAAATAAATCCTATGTTGCAGCTTTCGAAATGTCAAACAAAAGTAGTACGAGATTTTTGACGACCATTGTTTTTCTTTACCTGTTTGAATATTGAGTAATACAGAAATATATTTTCTTATTAATCGATTGATATTATCAATCATAATAAGCCACCATGATGAATGTTGTTCTTGATACATACTTGCTGTCGGACAGTATCGATTGATATCTTTTCTTAGGTCAATATCATTTAATAAAACATAAACAAAAAATGCTGATAGATGATCACGAATAAATGTATTTATTGGAGCATTTTCTCGAACATTTTCACGATTTGTAACTAATTGAAAATTAGCATTAAATAAAAAGTTAAATCCAAGATTACAAACAGGTAAACCATTATAAACTGTACTTGTTAAATGGTAATCCTTTTCACAAGGAAATATTAAACTCAATCGTGTATTGGAAGATTGCCGTTGTTCAATTGAATTCGGTATTTGTATGCAACAAGTATATACCCGAAAGGTATTATATCCTATTGATGTGTATAATTGCATAAGAGATCCCGTTAGATTCAAAAATGTGAAGTCTTCAAATGTCACATGCAATTTTTCTTCTAATTTTGTTGATTCTATAAATTGCTTTTCAATTCGAATTTCTCTATTGCTTCTGCTGTCAAATATTTCAAGCCGTTTTAATTGCCGCATATTAAGTAAAACACATGGATCAACAGCTTTGATAACTTGATCAAGAAATAAATTAACTTCAGATGTTTGTGCTGGTAATTTAAGAGGCAAATAAAGATGAGTATGTTCAGTATATGTTGAAATTTTTTTGGATATACAATCTGGTATATCTTGATCTGTTATCCATATCGGTGTTATATATGACATAGCATCAATGCCTGGCACTTGAAAACAAAATTTCCATGCATGTGAAACAAGCATCGGTTGATTTGAAGCAGCAAAAACTGATTTAAAACCAATACCTTTTTCGCCGATATGTTCTTTTAAATTTGTTTTTGTAGTTACAGCTAAGCTGCAAATAGCTAATACATCTTTAGCGCGGAGACCGCACTCATTATTTGATAGAAGAATATAATTATGATTAAGTTCAATACGTAAACAGGGTATGACTGAATTATCATAAGAATTATCTTCAGCATTCTATATAATAGAAAAAAAGTAAGTCACTATGAAATATGAGAAAAAAGGCAAACGAAAAACAGACCTGAATAAGTTCGTACAAAAAATGTACAGATGAACTATAAAGATCAGAACCAAGATTTTTCAATGATCCGCATATAGATTTTCGCATGTCTTCATCATTAAATATTGTTCGTCGATATGAAATTTCTCGAATAAAATTTTCTGCTTGTTCTTTACTAATTTCATTTGGTGAAAGTTGTTGTACTTCATCAATTATACTATTCGGATTGTTATTAGCAATAGAAGTCATTATTGATAATTGTTGAGATTGTTCTGTTTTGTTAATAATTGGTCGTTGTTTGAGTTTATCTATTTCTTGAGCCATTTGTATATTCTCTTTTCTAAATTGATCTCGTTCTGACTGTGTACGTTGTAATTCATTTCTTAACTTTTTTAATTCTGTATTAAGTTGTTGTTTTTCATTTTCAACTTTTTTATAATCACTTTTAAGTTGTAATATATCAAGTTTTTTCCATTCTTCATCTAATAATGTCTGAATATGAGTTTGTTGTATTGGTTTTTCTTCGTTCAAATATGTTTCTTGATATTGCTGATATAACTTGTGATATGATACAATTAAGTCTTGAGAAAGTTGTAAAGGGACAAATGAATCTACTTTCTCTTCAATTGTTTCTATATCAGGTGACCTGTTTTTCTCATCATCTTGAATATTATTAATAGTTTCATTGCGTTTCACTCTCGACTGAATAAATTGTGTATAGAATGACATACATGTATCTATTGCATTTTGATAAATAGGTTTTGCTTTTAATAAATGCCAAATAGTATTTGGAATAGTCCATAATAAACTATCATTATTTATTAATGCTAAATTAACTGTTGGTGAACTGTATAAAAGAATAGGTGTTAGAAGAGCACATAATTCACTTATAAGAACTGATATATGGTGAATTATTTTTTCTCCATCATACCGTTCAATCGTACAAGAATTTGCTAATACTAGAATGACTTCAGTGACATAATGTACATCATCTTCTATTACTTGTGCACAATTATCAGCTGAACCATGAAATAATAATGCGACATTGCTAATGAAAGATCGTTCAATAAGAATATTTGCATGACAAAAACAAAGCTTTTCAAAAAAATGCAACTTTGAGATTTCTACAATTGATCTAATTATAAAGGAAATACTCTATTAATACAGGTATGTTAGTATGGATCAGAGACCGAAACGGAGTGGGAAATCGGTGAGAGGCCCCGGGGAGGGGGGAAGCATTTTGGCGGGCGGTGTCGCAGCGACTAAAAGGATTTTTGGTCGGAGCGAGGCGTGGCGGTAACGGACAGAATTAAGTAGATATCTGGAAAACTTTCTTATTCTTCAATTTTACATTGAGAGTTTGTATATACATTTGTGAAAAGTCGGAGCGGAGCGGGGAGTGAAAAATCCGCCCCGTTTCGGTCTCTGGTATGGATTGTTATACTTACTGTGAATCACTATTTTCGTGAGCTTGTACTTCTCTGCATAAATTCTTAAGGATTTGATATGGTGATAGAAGCCATTTAATTGCATCTAATATTTTACGTGCTGCTAATGGATCATGAGTTAAATAATAAATCGCATATTTATGTTCGATTTGGTCGCCATTTAATATAGTCGAGCATAATCGTAAACCAGACAATGTCAGAGCATATTCTCGTTGAGTAATAAGTTGTAAACTTAATGTATATATTTCAGGTGTATGACTAAATAAATCATGACGAAAAATGAAATGATTGCCTAACACACATATAGCTAAAACCATTGAATAAATAAAAGGTGTTAATGCATAGTTTTGATTGTTGAGCAATTGAAGAACATAATGAATTAATTGAGCAGCTATTGTATTTTGATATGCTGCATCACTAAGATTAAAACCAAATATCAATTGTCTTTTATATACTTGTAATTCTTCATCATTTAAACGGTCAAATTCATCGAGAACAAGATGAACAATTTTACGGGCAGCATTTTCAGCTGTGTCTGATTGCTGAAGATCGTTGAGAAGTGGCTTTAATCGATTACTGATAGTACGATTATAATTTTTTTGTAAAAAGTTTCGAATATCTCGTACATCGCGTGCTGTTCGTCGACGAGGTGAAAGTAACTTTAACACATCAAACCGGAGTTTATTGTCATTAGCTAAATACTTTGATGATTCATTATGATACAGGCTTTGTATTAATGTTTGAAGTGCACTATCATCTGTAACGATTCGTTCATCAATAAGTAAGACGTTATTTTGAAGATACTTGGAAGAGGCTAGCACAGAGAACAAACTTTTAATTCGTTTTTCGTATACAGGATAAATATTTATTTGATAATCTTGAACAGAACGTCTTTGAGCTAATGAATTTTCGAAAAGTTGTTGTTCATCAACAAGAAAACACATGATTTTCAATGTGAAATTAAAGAATGGTGAATTTAAATCATTCAATTGAAGAAATATATTAATAAATTTTGATTCTAAACATATAGATCCACTGAGTAGAATCCAACTAGGCGATTTATATTGGACATTTTCTACTTTATTTGCTAATTTCAATAACTCAAGCAAACGATTACGAAATTCACCGATTTGAGAAGAATTTGATACGTCATTAATATTAATTGACATAAGATTAAATCCATTACAACATGATGGTATAAGAGTTGATAGGGGTTGATCAATTGATGACGACTGATTTTGGCTAGTAAAGAGTTGATCATTGATATTCGTTAATATTTCGTAATTTGGTAAACGAATATCGTTCATATAAGAAGAAATTTCGGAATAATTCCTAAGTAAATATTCGACTTTCGGATAAATTAAACTAACTGGTGAACCCATTGCAATAATAAAATTTATTGGACTTGGAGGCTTTCCTAGAAGCTTGCAACATGAGCAAAGCGATTCTGTCATATTATTTATCTAAAACCTAAGACATGATTTTAAGCTTTTGCTAGTTCTCAACCTTCTTCTTGACATAAAATAGTAAACACATTTGATTAATTGAAACGACTGCTTTTTAGGATTCCTATGACCGAAAGGCTTTAACAAAATTTTTGGGAGGAAGAAACGAAAAAGAAAAATTTCAAGAAAATAATGTAGCAGCATTGATTAAAAGCACTTACGGAAAGATTAAACAATTCTGATTGGAACATATAATGGAGAATTTGAATTTGCGGCAAAATCATTTCACAAAAGAGCAGGATGATTTGTCATCAAATCCTCTTACAGATAATTACAGCGGTATAAACGGTATAAGTAGACATGGCCCAAACTCAAACTGTTTCAGTTCGATACAATGAAACTCGACTCGAAGTTTAGACTCGAGTTCGAAGTTCGATTGAACTCGAACTCGAACCTTAAAAATCGAACTCGATATCGACACTTGAACTCAAGTGCGGCTTTGGTACATGTCTAGGCATAAGTGGTATAGCGGTATAAGACCTAGGCATCAACGTGTCCATATAGCGCTTATACCGCCCATAGATGGAACCGGTACCAGGAACCGGCCGATACACCGGTCGAAACCGGTCTACCGGTATAAGACCGGTCTATCGGTGGAAAGTGATCCATAACAGGCAACAGAGACTGAATATTAAATAATATTTCAAGTTAAGTCTCGATCTGTTGTTGATTCATGAACACTTCGTTGAGAGGTTAAGTTTCTTTAAACAACTAATCGACTATAGCTCACATGTTTAGTACCGGTCTGGACCGGTTTTGACCGGTATGAAACGAGCAGTCATCCTATTCCCGAATGTTGAACATTGCGGAATCAGTTCCATCCAATTCCAGAAAATCGATCGTCATATAACATAACAGATCCATTCGTCACTGACGGTGTTCCACCGATTCTCGGAATTCCCGAAACTGAGTCCCGACGGAATTACTCCGAATTCCCAGTGATTCCGCACGATTCCGGAATTCCGGAATCGAGCGGAATTCCGTAGCGGAATTACTTACTTAGCCTCGAGAATAATGTTCTATCACAACAGCATACGTGAGGGTGAGGGTAAGACCTAATTCCGGTACGAAATTCAAGAATTGGAAGTAGTTCCCGGAATTCCGAAATCATACGGAATCCCCAGGAATTCCATGCAGTTCCACAATCGTGTTGGAGGTGATAAACGGAATTCCACGAATAGGATGGAATTGATTCCGTAGGGGAAACTGGGTCCCAAATGTTCAAAATTGCGGAATAGGATGTGTTCTCTATGAAACCGAAATACCGGTAGAAACCAGTCGGACCGGTAGACCGGCTGGTCCGGTCCGGTTTGAACTGTTTATACCGGTACTGATCTGACAAAAAGTGAACCGGTTCCTTCTATGATACCTCTATACCGTTTCTACCACTATACCGCTATATCTCCAAAGAAGGAACCCTTCTATCCTCATACCGCTTCTACCACTGTATGTCCAGAGGATGGAGTCGTCTTTCACTAAGGTGGACTAAGTCTAAGTAGCTTCTAGCTATCGGAGCAGATTGTAGTTACCCATGTAGCCAATAATGGAAAAATAATGGAAAAATGATCCATTATTTTTCAAAAATATCAAATAATTAATTATAATTCATTATTTTTCGTATTTTCAATGCATTATAATGCATTATTAGAAAAAAATTTCAAAATTTTCAAAATTCAATCAATTTTTCCTTTCAATCAAAAGAAATATGTTAACCTAAATCTTGTTCTCAGTTTATATATTTACGTTGTGTTTTGATTTAAGGATTAATGTAAGTGTAAGTACGTCTACTCTTCGGGATTAGAATGACGGGTGGGTGGTTTTTGGAGGAAGTATATAAAATATTGATGTATAATCGAGAATAAAAGTAAGAGGAAATGCATATATGTTTCATGGAGGTTTGCGGGTGTGGGTGTGGATACAATCCCGTCGCAGATGCACCCACAGCCACAGCCACACCCACAGCCTTCCTGTGAAAGAGGTCTTCTTTTGATTTTCGACGTCCTTAGAAATCTTGCTGTTCAAGTGCGAACGTAGCATTAGAATTTTCAACTATTTTGAATACCGAAAATAATACTTACGAGTCTTGAATATCGCATAGAAGTATAAAAAGGCGGAACGGGTACTATGGTAATCAATAAGATGAATTGGTCATTTTTTTAAAATATCGAGCATGGCAATAAGAGACGAAATGAATATCAGAGAACAGGAGTTGTCAAAGCAGAAATTCAAAAAGAGAAGAAACTAGAAAATTTTTGAGGGATAAAACAAGGTGTTCGGATAGAAACATCGAAAACAACTGAAAGAAACTAAGTGTGGTGAAGAATGCAGCCGAATGTCGAAGCCAAATAATAGGCAGAAATATCTCAACGAGAAAAAAACAAAAACGACATTATTCACTTACTTACATGAAACGAAGTACAGCGCAAAAAATGTAAAAAAGCCAACTATTCTCTTTCACTTCGTTATTAGATGCTGAATGCAGATGTGGGTTTCGTCAACAAGCGATACATCAATCCATACACACAGAGAAAGGCACATTCAACTACAACTACACTCATACCATATTTTGTATTTTTTTTTCATTTCATTTCTGTTTATTCTACAGTCTGCTGTCTTTTTTGACGCGAAGCCTCACTTACCAGTAGTAGCGGCGCCAGGATTTCAGTTCAGGGTGGGCTCATCATAGGTTGAGCCCACCCTAACCTACACAAAGTGTTCTTTTTACATAGCTTTCAAAATCTCTCAGGGTGGGCTCAATGTAAATCAGGATGGGCTGAGCCCACCCTGGCCCACCCCTGGCGCCGCCACTACTTACCAGCAATTCTTTTCAAGGTACGTAATCCAAGGGGGAAAAAGCGGATTCCATCTATCCCGGATACGGTCGGGATACAGAGGATACGGAGGATACATCGGGGATACAGAGGATGCATCGGGGATACAGAGGATACATCGGGGATACGGAGGATACATCGGGGATACGGAGGATACATCGGGGATACATAGGATACCTCTGAGATTAAGAAGACACAGTTTGATACTAAGCAGAAGATTAATAAAATATGGGTTGTATATCATCGGATTAATAACTGATCAGTTCTGGTGAAGACCTCTCATCAATACAAAGAGTTTGAAAGGCCTTTTTCATATATTTCGATTAGCATGAAAAAAAAAATAAAACTGTTTAAATAGTGTAGTGCCTAATCATCGAGGGTAGGGGGCGGAAATGGATTCCATCTATCCGAAATACGGCGGGGATTCAAAGAATACGGACCAAGGAGGAAACATCGTACTATTATGTACTTTAAAGTACTCTAGTGTACTTTAAAGTACAAAAAAGTACAATCATGTACTCAGATATGTCTCTAGAGCATCTTAAGGAGGTCTTAAGCGATCTGAGAGAGGTTCCTAAGTGATCTCAGAAAGGTCTTTCGTGGCTCACAGGGGGGTCACTGGAGGGTCTTATGGAGATCTTTATAGATCTTCGCAATGGCTCTGGGTGGTCTTATGGACATCTTTAGAGGATCTCAGGGATGTCTTTCGTGGATTCAAAGGAGGTCTCTACGGATCTTATCGAAATCTTTAAGAAATCTGAGAGATGTCTTCTGGAAAGCTCAGGGACGTCTTCAAGGACCTCAAGGCGATCCTTGGAGGGTCTTATGGAGATACTAGCAAGACCTCAAGGAAGTCTCCTGGGGATCCCTGGAAGGTCTCTGGAGGGTCTTATGGAGATATTTTGGTAATTCAAGAGAGATCTTCAGAGGATCTTAGTAGAGTCTTCAGGAGATCTCAGGGATCTCT